GTTTGTCGCTCTCCTACGCAGCTGCGAGGGAGTCGTCTCACCAGTGGGTCACCCGGCGTTATGTGATTTTTCTCGTATATGAAGTGCTGTTTAATCTCGCCTTGCTCAATTTTTAGCGAAATTAATTCGTGGCCTTGCATAAAATTCGGTCGGATGAGTTTATGTAACCTCACCTGAAGTAAACAAAGTCCAGTAACATCTAGTACATGACCGGTGGTGATAAGAGATTTACAGATGGTGACGGGAACACAAAGGCGATGAGGTCGTGCAGTTGTATGCAAACGAAAAGTTATTGTGAATACTCGGTTGTAATTTGAATGGTTAATAAATAGTTGCCCTAAAACCTAACCCCTAACTCTATCTCTAAACCCTAACGCCTAACCCCTAAGACTGGCTTTAACGCCTAAACATAACCTCTAACCCAAACCCTAACAGTATGGTTTCCATCAGGTGGGTCTAGATAGCCACATCTTACCGATTGCCGAACTGCAGTAGATGAGCTAACTCATGAAATGTCGGCCGAAATTTCAAAAATCGTTTTCGTTTCGAAAAGATTGATTAAGTAGAATTGCAAAACTAATCATCCAGCAGCATCATTCTATAATAGTACTGTTACCTTAGGGTTGCGCCAACCACTAAGCACAACCATTAGCCCCTACCCCAATGTGAAGAAAATGCACCCCGATCGGCACTTCGTCTATAACCGTTGCGGCATCCTGCTTACAATGAAAAAATTAGAGTGCACAGGACTGCAGTCCAAAACATTCTACTTACGACTTTACCATAGGTATGCTTTGGAGACATCCGAATTGGACATGTTGTAGACTACTTTCTAGGCCCTCATGCACATTCTAAATACGGTGATCGATCTCTTTTATGTTGACAAAAATATCCAAATGTTGTTTTAATGTGGATTAGGTTCATTTAACGTGGATTGTAATACTGATTGTCACGTAGCACGATTTCGTGATATTGCACGGATGACATAATGTTGCCTCTTGGTTTGTCTTCTTGTCGACCGATTGCAAGAACCGTACTCGGTAAAAAGGACTAATTTGTATGATTGTTTTCTGATCAATTACTGACTTCCTTATCAATTCAAATATATTAATTACGAAAAACGTGTACTGACATATACTTTCCTTTACTTATTGAACCGCCAATAATCTCTCCCTCAAACTGTATGTTCGCGGACAGAATATCTTTCCGTTTTGATTAAGATTCTTAGTATGAGATTTTTGTAGACCGTGCAGCGTCCACGCAAATAGCCTCCCATCTGTTGCTTACTTAATGCTCCACATGTTGTAGGTCCTGTTGACGATCCTTCTGATGGCGTCGAAACATGTGATTTCTCTTACAGGGAATGTGTACTGCTTGTGAACTGAAAACAGTAAACACACATTTAAGAGCCGATACGCCTCAAAATTATTCGTGAATAGGCCTATCTTTTTTAAACCCAAACATTCACGTGCTTTTATTACTGCGTTTCAAGAGGAGGAGGGAACGTTTGCCAACTAGACACAAGGAAGAATGTGTCCGTGAATGTTTACTATAAAGCATAAATCTCAGAAGAATTTTATGGTATATAAGAAAGCATTATTTTACTGAATGCGGTCTTAAAATACAACACAAAAGAAGTACATGTAAAGGCAAACATCTCGGTATGTCTGGGTAAGGGCTGCTCGTTTATCATCGTATCAATCTAGATGAACAAAGTTTCCTCAAAATTTTCGTTTTCACTTCCCATTTCCTCCCCTTAAGTAGAATTGTTTGACAACTCTAATGTGCACCTCTACGTTTTTTATCGTGACTAGAATACCGATCAGGGTGCATTTTCTGCTCATTCCCCAACATTTCGAACGCCAAAAGTTTCAACATATTGAGAATCGAAAAAAACTATGACATTATCAAAAGTGCAAAAAGCCATAAGCGAAAGAGTGAGTATATGTAACATGTCAACGCCGATTGCTGTGGTTTCTTCAGGCAAATTTTATTATCGTGCTATGCGGGTAGATTTTCGGCATAAAAGTCGCATGGCACAATTTTTTTCATGCAAGGCAGCATACTTTGAGTGGCTGACTGTTAGGTATTTTTATGTGAGACAGTGCTCCGACATTTTTTTAAAATGTCAGACGGCATTTTTTATTGACATCAAACGCCAGAAGTCAATGTGCTCGCAGATCAAAATCTCGCACTTACAATGGTGTGCAATTCGATACCTCCTGCCACAATACGAAAGGGCCTCCGTCTTCATCCAGTGAATCAAACACGATGGCCCGTTTAAACAGCACACACACAACAGTCTGACCGTCTACCGTGTGCTCCACAGCAGAGTGTAGCTGGCACGCTGGACTTGTACTTGAATTTCACGGTCACGGGCTTCTGCCATCGTCCGCCTGCCAACTAATGTGCACTCATTTGATTTCTTAGTATTCTGCACTGATCTCTTATAAATCTACACAGAATAAACTATCCCCTCTATTTCGGCCAAACTTCTCCTCTTTTTATTCGGGAGCATGCTGAATTGCGCATTGACACTGGTCACTCTGTGGCCATCAATGCTGCTTTTAAGCCACTGATGAGGGCTGGCTGTCGTTAATCGACGAACCAGAAACATCTGCTTGCAACATGGATGAGTGCGACGGGGACCATCCGCGTACATCTTTTAGGCATATTTTATCAACCAAACCCTACTTTTAGTATCAAGTTCAGCTGGTTTCGGCTTTGTTATATGTTAGCGCATGATGGTTGCCAGCAGTGAATTGCTCACTTTCGATCTTTTTAACTATGTCTTGACACCGGACACGTGCGGAATAGGACGAGGAGGAGAGAGTGCGGTAGATGCATTGTGTCTACATTCACTATCTAATAATTTACGCGCTTATCATCGTGCCAGCTCTCGCCTTCCTGTGGAGCACAGGATAGACATCGTTGTCTGCGACGGTTGAACTGAAATAAGGTTCTGCATCGTATATCCAGGCCCGTTGACGAATGAGGGTACGCAGAACACAGTGCTCTCCCCACATTTGTCTCTGAGCTAAAAGTCATCCTTCAACTCGCCACCTTACAGCCAGTTTAGGATGCTCGACGATTGTGTTGTTCAGAGCGCGGTAAGTTTGATTTTTTCAAACACGTCATACAAGAACCGAACTCCTCGCATCTGTGACATGCGGTGGCAGAATATCGGCGAACCACGCGTGTCTGTGATTTTGACAAGTGCGTGGGCTGCTACTATGCTCCCTGGTTGTACTAAATGCCCTAGAAATATGGAAGAGAGTAGCAGTTCGAGATGGTGACGTAGTTTATGCCTAGATCTTCACCGCGGATGTCCTCTGTCCCCTTTATGAGTCATGGGAACCGTGCGTAGAATTGGCACTTTAAGTCTTCCATATTGACAAATGGCTTAGCTAAAGCCGTTTATCGACTGCCAACTGCAATCTCAGAGTCATAAGCATCACATGGAATTCCGGGCGTTGGGAAATCTGTCGAGGTCCTTGAAAGCCATTCTTTAATCCACTAAGCATCAGAAAAACAGGCTGCACGTCTGCTTGAATAACAAAATGCCAGCTCTCACTTCAGTAGGAATAAAGATTAAAGCAAATACTTCGTTTGCCTTGTTTAATTTCCGAGGAAATTAATGCGCGGACTTGGATTAAATTTTTAGTTATGGGCCTTTTGAGGCCCTGTAAAAATTTTTGGATATGAATATCGGTCCTGAAATCCATCACCTACTGCTGAATAATCGTTTAATTTTCACAAACCGCCAACAGGCAGCCAGTAGTATAGAACTGTGC